CCCTACAGAAAGCCATTAATCCAAAAGTTGACATGCTCTAAACAAAACCAACAGTATCCAGCCCCTTAAAAAGAGGTATCGAAACATACAATGTGATCACAAATACTTGACATTCTGTACAAAGCCTGCAGAGAACAATGTGCATCTCTACACTTTTTTACTGTACATGTCTCATTCCATCTCTTTTGTCCTGCCAACCAGCTGGCTGTAGCTACTGGCTTTTTGAAATCACAGGAAAACAAAATGATTAATTCCATTCATTTAAAATAATAGTGAAAATGGGCAAGAGTTTGGCCTCTTTCACTCTGCTTGCCTGTTTGCGTTACAGTGGGTATATCTGCCTGGTCCTGGCAGTGTGGCCGTGAGCTTGGGACTAAATTTTAGTAATCTGGATGTGCAGATACTAAACACTGCAGTATGGGATAACTCGGTGTTTCAGTGTGACTTAAAGCCCTTGCTAAAGGTAGCATGCTGGCATTCAGCCCCTGAGACTCATTGTGCTATTCATACTGTGAACGGAGAAAATGGGCGTTAGAGTGAAGGCTTGAGTTGCAAAGCGATTTAGGAAGCCGCTTCTTACAGGTGATTTGTGTATTGGCTTTCCAGTCCCTTAGCTGTTAGCCAGGGCATCCAGCTGAGACCTGGTAATGAGGATCTACACCTCACTGCAGGACAAATCTAAATATGCTAGTCTAAATGTTTAAGGAAGGTTTGAATTCACCGAAAGTGGGGCAAGATCATGTGCTTGGCTTTGTCCTGAAATTCCACGGACACCTTTGTGCAGTCGGGTACAGCTGGGAGCTACTTGGGAAGCTGCTGCTTGCCCCCTCCAATCACAGAGTTAGCTAAGGCATAGGAGCTCTGGGTAGGTGCTTCTGGTGCATGCTAGCATCTCAGAGGAGGAGACAAATTTTGCAGGTTAGTGGCAAAGGGTAATAAAGGCAGCTGTCCTGGGCATCACTCTGCCAAATGGAAGCACGTATGTTGATGGAATCAAGAGTATTTCAGTACCTGTTTCTGCGGTGAGGATATCCCATCTGGTCTCCTAGTGAGCACAGCCCTTCTCAGGGAGGAAATTTACTGGTGGGTTGGAAATGGAGACCCAAATGAACGCTCTGCCTCCATGCCAAAACAGCTTATTACTACCCAGAGCAGTCTTGCAATGCCATGTAGACATGATCATTATTTTCTTTTCAAAAACATTTTGTAAATTTTGCTTCTTAAAGAAAACCTTGAAATCCTCACCTGTTTAATCCCATGTGCCCTAATTCACTGGAAAACATGTTCATAAACATATTAAAAAAAATAATAAAAATGATAGTGTTAAAATAAGTTGGCTAATGCCATCATTAAAAAACCCCCAAACTTACTCACCTTTCTACCAATACTTCATTTGTATGTTACATCACTTGTACCTGTTTTAGCGGGAACCTCCTCTCTGTGGCCATCTTCAAACGACCCAGTGCACCAATGAAAGTGCAAACCTGTATTTGCTATTTGTTCTTGGTTTTTAAATTAAGGTGGTGTTTCAAAGGCTAGACAAGATATTACAGTGATTCTTAGCATTTGAAGAGTGGACAGCATAGCAGTTTGACTCAGACGAAGGTCAGCCACAGAACAAATTTAAAAGGCAAGGAAGCAGAAATATATATATATCGGCCAGCATTACTTTAACTCAGACAATGACAGTTGAAGTAGACATATATTGCATTTCCTCTAAAGCAGTAGGATATCAGTAAAAAAAAAAAAAAAAAAAGAAAAGGAGAAAAGGAATTAGAAAAAAACCCTGCCAGATATGCTGAGGCAATAACAAGCAGGAGGAAATAACACTTTGTGTTAGGCTTATATTTGATAGATATAAAACTTGAAAATGCTGTGCTGCACCTGAGGTGCACCGTGCAGGGTAATTGAAATGAATCGTGGGCTGCCTTGAAGGACATTTAGCAGCTGTTCCTGTTTATCTTTCAGCTTCAGAATGATTTTAAAAGCATTTTTTGTATTTTCCTGGGAAGATCAATTCTGGCAACACTGTCTTTTAAAATGTGCATTTTTATGTCACATGCGCTAAATGCAAGAAATTGGAGAATGACTTCTGTTTTAAATATTACAGACCTCCAGTGTACCATGAAAGGCATTCAGGTGGTGTGGGACATTCAGAAAAATGATATGGCAACACCGATGCCTCTCTGTTTATCTAAAAAGTAAGCAATGAAACTCTCAAGATCGCTAACGTCTCCTTCTTACAAAAGCAATGACTCTGGTCTGCAGCTGAAATATAAAAACCAAAGATGAAACCAAAACAATGCAATGTCAGCTTGGAAAGATCAAAAGAAGAGTAGTTTGTGTGTCAACGATATACTACATCACAATTTATCTTTATATAGCACTTTCCAACAGAAGGTTGCAAAACACTTTATAGGGATGGCTGAAAGCAAAAGGCAGGCATTAACGCAAGCTTTAAAAGAGATTAAGCTGTGGTTATGGGACTTTGTTCCTGACTGGAGCTTAGATGTCACAGATGCATTTTTTGGCTCTGTTCTACAGCTCTTGTGGGATTTTGGGTGAATCACCCTCTTTTCACATCACTTCTTTGTCTTTAAAATTGAATTCTGCTTGTTCTTGTGGTTTGGTGTTGTTTTTTTCTTTTTTTTTTTTTTTTTTTCCCCCCCCCCCCCCCCCGCCTTATCTCTAGTTTATGACTGATCCAGCCTGGGGACTATCTGGAAAATGTAAATACTGTGCACGCGAGAATGAGACTCCAATCCATATGCTACACTGTAATCATAATTACTGCAGTAAGAGAGTCATGATTTTTGAGCAGGGGAGGATGTGCTGCTGTGGAACAGGAACATAAACATACAGCAAATTATGTAAAAGATTGAGGGGGGACTGAATGGATTTTGGATCAGACTTCAAAATTAATTGAGAAATATACTGCTGCTGAGAGTCAGTAACAAGACAGACAACAGTGAGAGACACTGAAATGGATGGAAAAACCAAACAATAAACTGGTAGAAGAGGAATATAAAGTATGTCATGCAAAGCTGTCAGCTTGGTGCTCTCAGCACTGTGCAAAAGGGATGGACTTCAAATAGAAGAAATGTATTACCACAATGGGGCTGAAAAAGTTGTAGAAAATAATATAAAAACTTTATGAGATTTTTCAGTCACTCTTCCTGAAATATAAGCCAAAATAACAGATTTAGCAGTTGTAGAAAAGGAGAAAGAAGAATACTTTCCTGTGAACTTTTCTATTTAGTGACAATGTCCAACTAAATGCAAGAAAAAAATTGAAAAACAGGATCACTGACTGCAAATCTGTAGTCAATGGGTTCACAAACAGCAAAACTATTCACTTGTGGTGCAGTGGAATTTCCTGTCAGGGCTATTAAAACTAAATCATGTTATTAAAAAAAACCTGTATCATGCTATTAAAACTATATCATGTTAAAACTATATCACTGGGAACTGATGACTTTGGGTATTTCAACAACACTCATTGATACCTCTAAAATGCTGAGAAAAGTGCCAATATTCCTTGTTTTTCAGTTCTTCGTATATATTACA